ACCCCTGGAGTAATGGAACAGTAGAATCAGATGACAAAAACCTTGCAACCAAATGGCCATCACTTTGTCCACATGCGGAATGAATTGAAGCACAAACGACATGAACTTGCCAATCTCTGTAATAAGGGCATGTGCTGACCGAATCTCCTTTGCGGAGAATTGTTTGGAAGCAAGGCTGTGTGCAATTCAGACAACTTGAAAAGCTGCCGCTGCAATGCACGTAGAAAGACTCTTGATGCCCATCCTAGATGCAAAGGTCGCCGAGATCCCGAATTTGACTGCAAGTTCTTGCAGTTTGGCTTTCTCCTTGCCTCCGTAGTTGATCTGCACAAGCTTGGAGACAGACACAATGTGCTCTTGAAATTCTGCAAAACGCTTGCCTAGGGGTCGTTTGAAGCTCTGGATCCACTTGTCGACGTCCCCCTCTCCTGATCCCTTTAGTCGGGCTTTGTGATCGTTCAAGGCTTCAGCAGGAACACTGTCGATCTTACTCTTGAGGTCACTCTCCCAAGTCTTCGGTGGTGTCCCGGATTGTAGACAAGGAGCACTAGATTGCGAAGCAACCGGGAGCTGTGTTTTTGAAGCGGATTTCGTGGGGGTAACGGGAAGTCCTGCGGCTTGCAACTGTTCACGACGGCGATTGAGCTCTTCCGAAACTTGAAGGAACTTCTGAGATTGGTCAACTCCTGTGGGCACCGGCATGTTGTCAAACATGAGCTGAACGATCTTGTCAACCAGCGGCTGAAACAGGACTGCACAATCCGTGTTCTTGTTGGGAATGATTGTAGATGGATTAGCGGCCTGAAAAAGTTGCGTAGCAACTGCATCGATGTCAACTTTGCGATCCCGAAGGTTCTTCGTCACTTGCGACATGAACACTGCTTCAGCAACTGTAGCAACTGGCACAACACTGAAAAACTTGCCATGACTTAATGCTCGAAGACGCCAATCTGAAACTCCATGAAACAGGAATTCCTGAACAGGAATGCTGAGTGGATCTTTTCCTGCGATCCCTTTCTTTCGCGACCACGGGGTGGCTTCGATGTACTTACGAAAAGACAACCCATGAAGCACCGTTGAGTCATAATGATCACGATCTGACGCCCATCCATTCGGTAGTGCAGGAGCAAGACCTGGACCTTGATGAAGTGGCATGGGAGTAGACGGCGAAGATGAAGGTGCCGAAGAAAGTGGAGGCGGAGGTAGGGGAGGTGGCTGACTAGCAGGGGCAGAATTGGAGAGGTTGGGATCATTCCAACTTCCCGAGCTATACGGCTGATAGCGATGCTGACCCCACGATTGTTGGGATCTCCCGTACCCTGTGTTGGTGTCCCACTGTCCATTCCATGCCATGGTTTCAGAACTATCGACAAAGCTAAGTCCACGGGATCGCTGAGGACACTTCGAATCAAAAGGCTCCGTAGTTGAACAAACTTGCTCAAGTTGTTCTCAAACTGCAGCACTTGCACATCGCTTGCACAACTCTTGCACCACACTTGCTCCTCACTTGCACCTCTGACGCACACCCTTGCACTACCGCTGACACTTCACTTGCAGCACACTTGCATATCCCTTGCTGGCACATCTCACACTCTTAACTGGCATGTTTTCGACACATGTGTGCGTACAAAGCAATTGACAACGGAAGAGACTTGAGAACGTGGCTGGTCAAAGCAGCATGCTGCACTCAGACCCTCCAAAAGACAAGAAGCGCTTCCGGGATGAAACATGAGGAGCGAAAGACCCATCTGCCATCTTTGGCACGGGCAACGTCACGAATGTAACTGCAGGAATGGTCACCCTCAACCCCTCCCATGGGGATCCTTGAATGGGGAGGCGTGAGGGACCCTTGACGATTAAATGCAGATCCGAAAATGCACACCGGACGCTCACTCAGAATGCCACCGTACTTGGACGCTGCCTCTTGTGCTTGTTCTGCATCTGAAGTATGAGCCCTAGCATAGAAGGAAACTGGTGGGGACCACATGCTGTCACGAGCATCCCAATACGATGGTCGAATCGTTCCCTCAAGGAGGATAGATGCAGCCCCGGCCACTGTTGTGTTGTGTGCAATAGGCGAACGAGCAATCCCTGCTGCAGAAGTATGCGACCTGATCATGGTCCTCTCAAAGTGGGTGAAGTGGATGCTCAAGCACTTGCACGAACTCGACAAAGAACGAAGCTCAACAGAGTGAATGTTTGCAGCTTGGTCGGCTGCTGCAATTGCCTGAGAGACATACTTCAATGCCGTCGAATTGACAGACTGGGAAGGAAGACCTAACAGGCTGATCAGATAGTCCGCAGTGCTTTGCATCAAAGAGCTGGGAACCTGCAACTCAAGATTGGCCTGTATCTTTCTCGAAATCTCACATGCCGATTTCATACGGCCAGGGCTGGAACTGATCAAGTGACGTAGAGCAGTAAACATGGGGTATAATGCGACCCAATTGAAGCTGGCTGAGTACACTTGTATCAGCTTCGCTTCTTCATCGCGCACTTCCAACCCACGAAGTTCAGGAATCACGAAGAAGTTTGAATCTTGCTCCCACTCAACTTCCACATGCCCTTTGAGAAGAGATCGATTCTCAAAATGCTCATACGAATCTTGCAAGGGTTTAACTCGAAAGACGTAAGTCTGGTCCGCACTGAGCTGCCACCCTACACGATCTGCATGAGTACCAGGAATCTGATCACAAATTGCACGAAGTCGAATGCTGTTAGGATCTGCAACAAGAGAAACTCCGCTTCCATGGACTTGCCGAAGTCGCTTTGATGGCTGGGATGAGTCATCCGTTTGATATGTGAGGGCTGACTGTTGGCTCTGACCAGATGCTGTTGACTGATTCTGTTGAGAAACAACAGTCTGCTGAATGTCGAGCAAGTTGTTAAGTCCAGCATACACATCTCTGTGGCCTCGGACATGTGTCAAGTTTGCCGACATGATCGCTGAGTATTCAGCAAAATCGGCCACCGAACGAAACGACAAACGGAAACCTGCGCCATCTGCATGAAGAGTGATTGCTGGTGGAACCTCTTGCTGTGGAACAGGCCGATCATTTACAGCACGTGCAGCAATCAAGGTAGGAGCTACATCTGCTGTTCCCAACCCAACATTGGATGCAGAAGGGATCGGCAAAGAAGAAGATGGAGCAGGCGTCGGGCAAACTGCAGGAGTGGGGGGTGGGGGAGGGAAGGCGGGAGGGGGAAGGGGAGGGGGGGGTGGAATCCACTTCGCCGTGGTGCCACGGGAGGGGGGAGGGGCAGAGGCGGGGAGGGGAGGGGGGGGGAAAGGGGGAAGGGGGGAGGAGGAGGGTGGAGGGAGAGGTGGGGGAGGAGGGGGGGGAATTGATGTGCGGGTACCGCGTCTCTTTCCTGAGGCATCCATGGCAAACTGATCAGCAACTACCCAAAAGTACAGCTCATGTACTCAACTTGTAGCCGAAGACCTGCGACAAGTCAGCGGTGAAGTCAGATTCGGGAAAGTCAATCAGATCATAGAAAGTCAGTGGGAAAGTCAGCATTCAGGTTTCGGTACAGGCATTTGATAAAGACTCACTGAGAAAGTCAGCTTGCAAGCACGGATATAGAATCAGGGAAAGTCATCCAATGCTTATACAGTCAATCGGGAAAGTCAGCGCCAGAGCTACCTCTGGGAGACACGGCGCCCATAGGGAATGCCGTTGTGAAGCACACTTGACACATCGTGTCGCAGGTCTGATCTGTCGGTGCATACTGTCAGAGAAAGTCAGCAGCTGTCAGGGAAAGTCAGAGGCTGCACGAAAAAGTCAGAACATGCAATCTTGAACAGGAACTGAGCAAGAAACTGACCAATGCAAGCCCTCACTCAAACACAGCTCGGAAAGGGGTTTGCGGCTTGGCCCCCGTGCCATTTCAATGCAGGTACACAATCTGGCGTCCCAGATTGCTTCACAGCACTTCTATCACCGTCTTCGTTGGGCAGTGGATGATAGAAGGCTCACTGCCCCCCTGCTCATTCGACTCAGATTTACCTACCCTTCGAAACAGGGATGGACACACACACACACACACACGTGTACGCACAACGCCAAGACAAACTGCCACTGCCTGTTCTCCGCCTTCCTCTACTTGAGGAGCTTCCTGTCCAACGGGTTTGACAATTTCTAACACTCGAGGATGCTTCGCGCACGATGGGATTCCACACGGCCTGCTCGGCTGCTCTGACGAGCCATCGGAGGGTTTGTGCCTGCAGGCGCAACGTCTGCGAATCCGCCGACCGTCTCGGGGCTTTTTTCGGGGCTCCCGACGACCCAGCGCTGTCCGGGGAGGCCGCCCGACTCGAGGACTTGAACCACCTCACAACTGCGGCACTCGTCTTCACGCCCGGACATGCGCAGCACACTTCCAAAGCTGGGCTGCTCGCGACTACCCAGAACTCGTCAGCGATTCCCATCGCAGTAGTGAGTTCCGTTAAGACGCGGTCGTTTAGGATGAGATCCAACCTCGGCACTTTGCGGACGGTCAGATCGACAGGTCGCTTTTGCAAAACCACCGCTCATCCAGCTGAGCCATAGACACGAAATCTCGAACTGAGGCTTTCCAATCCTCAGTTCTGCATGCCGTGCCAAGGGCAGTGCCCACGAAGGCTTTCTTGGGCAGGGACTAGGGCGCGACGCAGAAATCGGGGGCGGAGTAGACGAAGCAGGTAGACCAACACCTGGCTCTGAAAGCAACAGTGAAAGAGGACAGAAAGGGCAAGAGACAAAAGGAAAGGAAAGGGAGAGAGGAAGGGAGAGGGAGAGGTTGGAAGGAAAGAAAGATAAAGTAGACAGACAGAGAGGGGGAGAGGGGGAGAGTGTTGACACTTCTGGTCCGGAGTGGAACTCAGATGCTCATTATCCGATACACTCAAGCTCATCGAAACCGGCGAGCACACCTGTGTTTCTTTAATATGAATGACACGGCAGCGCTGAAACACACTGCACTAGGCACTAGGAAATGTTCTGCTCTAGTGTTCATCATCAGGGCGTTTCGTCCCGAACGGCCCGAAACGCGCGCTGCCGCTCGATTAGGTGCAGTGCAACAAGACATGGCAGACAGACGCTCACCCGCTCGCCATCGCTGATCATCCCAGCAGCCTGCTACAGAGTTCCCGCACAGCACGACTCCAGCACCGACTAAGTTTTGCTGCTGTTACTGCTGTGCCATGTTGCCCGGACATGGTTGCAAGCATCTCTCTTCGGGTCTGACATGGAAAGTGAGATGCCCTTCTGAAGTGCAATATGCCTCACGCAGAAGCCGTTGTGCTGGAGTCTCTCGTTCTCGCTGCAGGGTGTTCCTTTCAGCAACATGAGCTTTTCCAGCAGGACTTCGAGACCTTGCCGGGGAGCTGGCTGCGGGACGAACACGAGATGAGCGAACTCTTCCTCCAAGTCCTGGTCCGAAGGGCACAGGAGCAAATGTGGAGAGCGAAAGAGACCCAGTCGAGACTCGGTGTACTTGGTGCAGTGCAGTCCTCCTTCTTCACGGCTTGCACAGACGATGCGAGGGGCGACAGCACTTGCAGGAGGTCCTCGACAGCCTCTGAGGTTTCGGGACTCAAGGACGCCTTGCAACAGCAGTCGCCTAGCCTCGTCGTCTGGATGTCCGAGAGCATCGAGAAGTCGGGGCAGCCTATAGCACCGCGATTGCAAGCTGATAGTCTTCGAAGAGGTCGAGGCTTCTTTGAATCACGTTTGCATGCTGGCTAGATAGATCTAGATAGGAGGCCCTCAACGGACGGTGAGCTTCAGGCATCCAGTACTCTTCCGAACTCTGTCCACGAGGTTTCGTGGTGAGCTCGATCGTGTCTTGTGGAAGCCTGCATGACATCTGCAAGTCTCCGCAAAGGATCGCCAAGGTCCGGCAAGCTGCCTCCAGAAGAGCGTGTTCAGAAAACGCGCCGTGGCCTTCTGCAAGTCGCGCTTCCTTCGGGGCCGGCAGTGGACGGGACATAGAGAACGCTGTTCAGGCGTCTTTGAGCCTCGATGAAACCAGATCAGCGAAAGTCCGCCACAGAAAGAACGGCTTGTCGCCATCCACCTTGCCAGATGCCAGCTGATCCCGACATCAAGAAACCCAGAGACGTGCTCTCACTCTGGCACCTCTTTACTGCTGCGTTCCCTCAGTGATGATAGTGACCCAACTCAACGGCGATTCAGCCGTGGTTCCATCTGCTCTAGAGAGGTGTGTTCCGGGCAAGCAGTACCATGCCAAATGCTTCGTACAACAAATGGCGGGCTGCCACTGCTTTCAGATGTCTTGATGACGTGCTCATGTGCCACATAGCTACGTCTTTCCTGCGGCAAGACTTGCGGAAAGAAAATGAAGCCACTGCACGAGGGGCTTTCCTCACAGCCTGTCCCGTACCGACGAGCTGTGACTAGAACGCACTTAAAGCACGAATTGTTGGCCTTACCGCGGAAAGCTCTCGGGCTTGCTCGAGGCCCCGGCGACAACCCCATCATGGTACTGGTTTTCCAGGATTGCCTGCCACTTCGACAGGGTATGGAGAAGACGTGATGTGTTGTGTCTTGCCGAAGTGCCTGTTCGCAAGCGTTGATGTCGCGGGCGATGATCATCGTCGCAAGCCCCACCACAGAAACCTGCCACAGTTCGTCACCTCTCTATGATTCTATGATCGACCCCTCAAAGTCTTCCGTGAAATCCCGATGGCCTGCACGTCCTCGGGCACCCCCGTGCTGATCTCGGAGTGTTCGAGTTTTGGGATTCGCATCATACTTAAGACTTTGCTGGCTTGTACAAGTTGCAGACTTCTGATGTCACTTTGCTTGCATAACATCAGCGACTTTCTGAGCGATGCTGTTCCTGTGCTGAATGCTCGTCCTGAGACTGATATTTCTGGACAAGTAGCCTGGGCCTGGATTCAATACCTACATATACAAAGCATGCAAGCCTGTATGCATGTTCTTTTGCCTTCCTCTGTCTGATTGTCCGTAAGGAATATGTGATGACAACGAAAACGTTTTGCTTTCTAAACCTCTCGACTGTCGCATGTCTGCATGTATGCACGTGCATCTGTACGTAGGTGCACATATGTTGCATACGTACGTATATCGGACACAGGAAACGTTGTTGCTTACTTTTCCGTCTATATGTATCGTGTATAGCTCTATCTATCTATCTATCCATCTATAGATATGTATATATATATATATATATACATTCAGACATTATGCGGCGTTCACGGATTGCTCTCAGGCGATCTCAGGCTCATTGAGGCGTGGGCCGAAGACAGCAGCAGACTCACGGCACACGCCTGGCGGAGCTCGCTAGATGAACATGCAACAGCAACAACTACAAGGAAGAAGAAGACTCCAGGGCACAAACAAAATCGCAAAACAATTCGATGTGTGTAAGTGATGATACCACTGCAGCAATCTTACGCAGTCCACTTGACACCCGAAGATCGGCTCCTTCTAAGCTGTTCGTGAGCAGGCGAGCGGCATCGTGCGCAGGCTTCATGGATGTGGGCACTGCCCGCGTTGAAGAGCTGCCCTCCGGAAGGAGCCTGGGAGGTGGCCTGAAAAGGAGGCTGTTGCGCAGGCAAAGGACTAGGACTGCGTTAATGCCTGTTCCGCAGCGTCTGCAGAAACTCTTCGAAGCCCTCTGCGGGCGTGAATGAAGAGTGCGCTATTCGCCTGCACTCACGGCCAAGACTGCATGGACCATGGAAGACTGCCCGTTGCAAGACATGGTGCCTGCAAAGCTCCAGTAGTTCGTATCTCGTCTGAACCGGAGCCGGTGACAGCACTGCCTCACAGCGCACATCACTGCACACCCCGATGTGTTTCACGCCCCCTTTTCAGCCATCATCTGCAACAGGGTTTAAAGGACGAAGCACCTTGTTTCTGTTGCTTAAAGCCCGAAACTGCCTCGTACAACAGTGGCAGCAGGTGCTTGTCTGGATATAGCACCTGGGCAAGGTTTCGGTGCCATCGCATTGCCACTGACTCAAATCAAGTACTCCAGGCCAGCATTCCTTGCATATAGTGCAGGCGAACGGCGTTGTGAAGCAGTTCATGAGACACCAGGCGGCAGAGCCAATCTGACTGCAAAGCGGTCTGCACGAGCAGTGGCACCTTTCAAAGGACCGTGCATCTGGAAGGGGGGTGCTCACAAACTTGAGGTAGGGTCTGCACCATGGATGTGTAGAGCTCTGGCAAGTTCAGCTCCGCCAGAAGAACGACCGTATTTGCATACACCTGCGTTGGCAAGCAGTTTGCTTCCTCTGCTCACCTTTAGCCGTTTCAGTGGCCGGGCCTCGTCATTGAAGCGAGGGTTGCGCAGCACCGCATTCGCGAAGGCCACAAGGCGCGAAGGCTCAGCACAGTACTTGTGTCCTGGCAAAGCAGAAACATGTGTCGTGTCCCTCGCAGAGATTGGCTTCAGGCTCAGCAAAATCGCAGACAAACGAGACGGTCTGCTTGTCGATGCTTGCTCACACTTCATCTGTCACTTTGCATTTTTCAGCAGCATACGGCGCATGATTACAAAAAATGTGGAATGCGCGGAACTTTGAAACATGTACACGCGCCTGATTTTTTGCGTGGCAACTCCAGCGGAGGGTCGTGCACGGGAAGAATGCGAACCTGCGAACATGGACAGTGGGCTCAGCACGCAGACCAGATTCGAGGGTTCCATGCCTCTGTGTCTGTGAGGAACTCTGGCTGAGAGGACTGGAAGTGAATCCAAACCTTCGATATCTTCTGCTAAACGCTCGTTTCCCTCCATGCATCTCTCCATTCTGGTTCACTTTTGCTCTGAAGCTTGTGTCTTCGGCTGCCACGGCTCTGCAACCTTCACCAGGGCCCGGACACGATTGGTGTGCCTAATCACGAAGCATCCCGGCGTTGTTGGCACGTCAAATGTAGCATCCGCCACAGTCTCAGGTGCCAGCGACATAGCTCCAATCTCCAAACGAGGAGAACTGATGTGCCGTCGATCGCGGACGACCACCTGCTCCTGCAAGTCCTCCAGCATGGTGGACACCTGAAGTTCCGGAAGAAAGACAGCCAGCTATCTGCCAAGGACCTTCAAGGATATCTAGATGTAACACCCGCCTCGCCAAAGGTCCGCAAAGACATAGGATAAAACTTCTCTGTCCAAACCTGACAAGCTGACTGAATCTCTATACGAAATGGCTCAGCAACCTCACAGCTCCCGAACCGGATGATGCACGTGCCAAAATGAGGTCGACAGACAGAGAGAGGCACCCGCAGCTTGTCACAGGAGAGCTCGGAAACGTTGCGCCAGCACTCGTATGGCATGCCTTCTGCGACCTGTGCTGCAGCTTGTAAAGCTCGATTTGTACGGTAAAGAACTTCGACTTTGATGCCAACATCAGCATAGTGGCGCGCCTCTATGTCCTGCATGCGCTCTGCTCGTTGTGACTTTGCCGGCATGAAAATGACCTGCGGAACCTGCAGCAACACTTGTCAGTCAGCCTAGAAACGGATCTCGCTCGTCTACGACTGCAACACACCGGCACGGCCTCCAGCACTGTTCCAACCATTCTTACCTCAGCTGACATAAACCGAAACTCACAACCTATTTATGCAAGACCCCCCATCCGATTACTAGAAAGCCAGAAGTCTCTGTGCCTAGGTCCCACAAGGAGAGCCCGGGATTTGAGCAACTCAATGTCTCGGCAACCCTGCTCTGGCCTGCAATGCAATGCGATGTGTACGCCAGGTGGTCGAAAAAGGGTCCAGCATTCAAAAATTCTTTGTTATTCCAAGTAGCCAAGGCAAGCATGGATACTTCGTCCAAGGGCAGTCCGTGGATCACCTGCAGACGTAGTCGTCACGGACTGAATGCACAGAAACCTGTGTCTTCACTTTCGCCTCGCGAGCCTCACTTAGCACATGCGGTCTCTCATATTCCACCTGTGATTGCCCTGCAGACTTGCACATCTGACCCGTGCGACAGCAAGAAACCCGTGCCTCGTCCATAACATGATGCAGCTGAAGGAATAGCTGGCGGTGCATTCGCGCAGCCAGGGTGCCCACTTGCTCCAGGGCCAGTCGATCAGCCTTCTCTTGCCGAGCGCGCTCCTGCGATGACGGCAAAGAAACTTTTGAAAAATTGCCCAATGACCTTCTTGCGAGGATTCCTCGTTCTCACCAGCGGTAAGCCAAGCTGTCATTTTCTTTCGATCTCGTTCGCGACGCTCGATGTTCAAAAGGCCCCTGCGAACATTCCGAGCTCTCTGCACTGGTTCAGAGCGGAGTGCAGGACTCGAAAGCATTGGGCCTCCCCACGAAGTGGAGCACCTGAACCACAGCTCCGAGACCCTGGTCAACGAGAAACTCCTGCAGGTCCTGCAACCATACAGCCAAATGCGCAAGATGCTGAGACATTGCGGGCACACTGCCTGCCTCCTTGAAGATGACGCCATCTTCGTTCACTATTCGCGTGATAACAGCATCAAGGACCAGCGCCAGCGTTGCGGGGGTCTCCTGCCTCGCTCGTAAGATGAGCACTGCAACCCTGGATGACACGCTCTGGCAGTTCTTGATGACCTGGGCAGCCACTTGAGCTCAACAGCTTCAAGCACACGACCCTAGATGTCCAAGAAGAAACAGCAGCAACAACCCCGAGAGATCCTTCTGCTTGCTGTCTCGCGTCGTAGTCGCTAAAGTCAATAGGGCTGTCGCTGAACGCGTTCATCTTGATGATCAGTTTTGCGGCTAGGTCGTCTTGCATTATGTTCTTGCCACGCGGCGAAGCCAGCACAAACGCGACATAAACCGTACATGCTGCAATGAATGCCTGCTCGTAATTGGAAAGTTGCTGCTTCGAGCTTGCACCATCAATGATACCAGCTATCATTTGCATCACCTTGACGAAAGGCTGCTTTATGAGCTCCAGAAATTTTGGATGCTGGTGCGGGAGGTAGATGGCAGCTGTGCCAAGTGCCAGCACCATCCACATGATAGTGTCTGGGTCCAAGACCTCCTGCAGGCCGGCTTTCTTCTTGCCCATGGCTGCCAAAGACTCGTCGCTGAGCTGCACCTGCGTGAACTGGATGACAAGCTGAGTCACTTCAATGATGTTGTACACCGTCAGAGGGATCTCATCGGATGCACTGCCCGGCTTCCGTTTGAGCACTTTGGCAGCCTGGCTGCGTGCCACGCCCATTTTGGAGTCCACCTCGTAGGCGACCATTGCCCGCGGGAAGAAGCGCATCATCAGCATCGCCCCGGCAAGTACCGGGTCTTCCTCCTTGCGAAGTTCCCCACGCTCCAAAGCTTCCACGGCCTTCATGGAACGGCCGCAGAGAATTTCACCGGCCTGGACCTCTGCAGCATAATCTGAAAGCCTCTTGGGCTGGTCCAGCGCCTCCTTTCCATTTAGGTACAGGAAGACCAGCAACCCATCCACAACAACCGTCACTGCCACTGGCATCGCCTGGTCCACAATCGATATGGAGGATTGAGCCGACTCCAGTCTCCCTGACTTTGTGCGAACTTGTACGCACACGGTGAAGTCTTCCAGGCTCACATACACGTTCGGAAGATTCGACTCATTCACGATAAGAGCTTGAAAGCTCGGTGCTGCAGCCTTGATGCAAAGCTCACGCTTCAACGCTACAACGCACATAAGGGTATACCCGGGGAAAACCGCGGGATGCGCTTGTAGTCCACCCACTGCTTCCTCTTCGCCATCTCGCTTCGTTCCGAGCAAGCGCAGAAGTCGTGCAGCGTCATCCGGGTGTAGTCGACCGACTGCACGTTCCTTCTTCTCCAATATGCATCCTTTATCTTGCAACTCAGCTGACGACTGTGGCAAGCCGAGGGCAGACAAGCAGAACAAAGCTGCATTTTGCAAGCGAATGGTGCTGTTCACTTCCGTCGATCCGGTCTCGTTTCTTGCAATCACATTGTCGCGGTGAGCTCTGCGTGCATCGGCACTGAGGCAGTTCCTGACCACACACACCGGGCAGGGGTGCTGTTGCTCTTGGGCAAACGGCATCTGATCGTATGCGATCAATGAACAACGATTTTCGGACACAATCCAAAACAACATATCAGCATGAACCACTTCTCACAAATTGAGATAGAAGTAGCAGCTAGATGCAAACATCAACAAAACAACGAATGCAATGACCGAAAAAGAATAAATGCAACAACACAACATAAAACCGCGCTTCATAATCTGTATCAAGTTTCTGCAAAACGAAGCAAAAGTGGAGTTGAAACAAAGCATCGCTGCGTGCTTTCCAGCCACTCTTTACAAGTTCTTAGTCCAGCATTGAACACGCAAATTACTTCTTGACGACGTTCTGAACGACAGTACATGTCATAAAGTACTGGTTGCGCACGTGCAAACACGGATCGCTGTGGGCCGTTTATAGATTCCTGCCATCTGCTCCGTTGGCCCCACTTGCTCGAATCGAACGGTGGATGAGAAGCGAGTCGGACGCACGAGTCGAGAACAGGCGGGGGGCAAGTCAGGAACGAGAACGAGCAGGAGTCAGGAATGTCACGAGGTGGAGTCGGCCAGAATGCGAGCAGTCAGGAACAACCCTAAACCCGAAACCCTCTAAACCCCCTAAATCCTGAACCCTACACCCAAAACAAAAACTGAATTTTTAAACCCTAAACCCTAAACCCGACTCGTGCGGGGGCCATTCCCGGCTAATCTCCCGGACATGCTTGACTGGGCATTTGCCTGTTCCGGACTCTCCGGTTCCGGACTCACTGGAAGCGAGCCTGACTCGACTAACTTTCCTCGAACGATTTTGCACCATTTGCCCCACTGGACCCCATCTGGACCGCCAGCCGCTGACCATCGCTGACCCATCTCTGCCACCCACTTGCCTCACCTGCGCGTTGGGAGGAGGGGAGAAGTCGTCGCTACCCGCAACGCCCAGCGTCGAAACCGCTATGATGCAGACCGGGGACAGGTGACAGCAAACGAGAGCAAAAGCTGTGTCACAACGCTCCAATCGGTCCAGTATGAAGGCGTCGCGCTGAGTCTTGAAAGCTGTGGGTGGGTGGGGAACAAACAATGGGCTAAGGATGGAACAATTTACCAGCTGGATACAGCAACTGTTTCAAGCGGCGCATTTCGCCCAATTTATCTACAAGCGGGGGGCAGTTGGTGCAAAGCAATGGTAACGGAATCAAGTGCTCCGTTCACCACTGAGCAAACACTCATTTTTCGTCCTGTGGACATGTATATGAATTTACATATACATGAATGAATACGTATATGCTTGTACACGTATATATTTACAGAATGTTTTGAAAACATATCAGGCTGACTTGTCACGCAGGCCCTACACAAGCACCTCACAAATGGGTCGGAAGCTGACTGCCGACGTCAGGACCTGCTACCTGCTAACTTCTGGTGGCTTATCATCGCATGAACATCATGTACACGAGGTGGCTTCAACGGAGATTCAGTTACTATGGTTCACATGGTTCTCTTCATTTATGTGGGCTAGAACACCGCTGCATAAGCGGAAAACACCAATTCCAAACAGTCAAGGCTCTGCAGGCCGACACTGAACATGGTGTTGTCAAACATCAACAATTCTGCAGATCGATGCTCGTCGCCAGCCACACAGTGTCCCAGCAAATGAACCTTGCAAGTGGCAGAAATTTCGCCAGCATGCTCCGTGCAGCATATGGTGAACCAACGGACTCCTCACCAAGGCAGGGACCACGCACGCCTGCTCCCAGAGGTACCTCCAGCTGCCCCGTGGACAAGAGCACTCGCCAGGACAAAAGAATCTGCTTCATCAGGCGAACATGGGATAAACATACTCGTTCTCTCAAAACCGCCCACCGGTGGGCCTTCACAGTCACAGGCGTGGGAACACTGCAAACAACCACTTCCCGGAAGGCCCCTGGAACTCTACATTCATGGGGCACTGGTCGGACATCTCCATGCTGATGAGGAAATCGAAGAGGCGAACCAGCTTTCCCAAATGCGGCATCAAGGCTCCCTGCCAGGACCCCCGGATTTCAAGACAGCACACAGCACTGGCCCCCGCGTGCCTTGTCCTCTGGCCGTAGAATGAGGAGGTCAATGGACTTGAGGATTGCACTGCAGGCCTTCATGCCGCGGTTCCTGAAGCTAAGTTCACAAGGCTTGTCAGAACAAGATCCGCATGCAAGTGGTTTCACAGCATGAGGGTGGGGCCGCACTGATGGCTGGGTGACGTGGACCTTGCCGGCCGGCAACTTGAGCAGATGGGACGGCTCACACGAAGCCGGTGGATGTTCACGGACTGTCCATCTTTTTCAGGCTCTGGCCAGCATAGTGAATACGCAGCCGAGCGCCTTTGCCCGGCTGTCCAGCGCCCCCAGGTTTTTCGAGTTCCTTCTGTACATCCGACAAGTGCAACAAAACGAAACAGTTTGCAAGTTGAATCCACGCCCAAGCGAGAGAAGGCCAGGCGTCAATCCGGTGTACTGCTTGTTGCAGCCGTCGCTGATCATCCACAGCAACCTGCACAAACCAGAAGCAGCTCTGCGGTGGAGAAGCGGCATGGTAGCTCATGTTGGCAAACGTTTCGGACAAGCCCTGCCTCTCAGCACGAGACTTCAGCTCAGGCCAAACCTTCAACAACACTGGGAGCAAACGGAGACAGGCGAAGACACCAGCATGGTCGATCCGATCCGGTCTGAGGCTCCAGGCGGGCAGCAAGCGATAGCCTGGGTGCAAAGAAACAACTTACTTTGCCCTCGTCCTCATATCATCCCTTGGTGACCGCGGGCTCAGCCAAACATCCAAGCCATGTACTGTGCGGGTCTTCCTCGTACTGCAAGAGGGAGAGGCTTTCAATGGTGAAGACCCTGGCGAGAGCAGGTTTCGGTGACTGCGCTTTGTGCTCCAAATCGATGCAGGGCCCACTTCTCGCAGTCCGGCCCATCCGCAAAGATCCCCAGGAAGTCTGTGGCCCGGCTGGCCGCATTGCAGAAGCCGAGCCTGCCAATGTGAGAAAAAGGGACTCCACCCGTAGGAAACCACCAGTCATGCCCTGCTCGATACCAAGCAGCAACTGTCATGAAATATGAAGCACATGACGGGATAGTGACTGGTTAGATGCAGACCGTCGTCAACACCCAGTCTGCCGAAACCAGCTCGAAGACAACGAAGCCCCCCGAAAGAAGATTGACGGTGCAAGTCGGTCCGAAGCTGCACCTGTTGAGCTCCAGAGACTTTTCGAAGATTTTGTCCGAGGATGTCTTGCACAAGTGCATTGCAGACAGGTGGTCCTGCGAGGATTCAAATCGCATACTCGAAGCTTCAGATGTGGCTGCAGCAGCCTGGTGAATCTGGAACACCACTCGCATCATCTCACCCTCCAAGAAGGCTGCCTGGCAATTGATCACAACATTTCGCTGAACCACAACAAAATGTGCACCCATTGCTAGTACGCCTGCTCTTGTGTGAATATTCGTTTTCAAGACAACTCTATAAATCCCATTGTCAGCATCTCGATTAGCTTAGTACCTCCTTCTCATCGTTTAATCGTTTATGGTTGTTGCACGCATGCTTGCCATGCGTCGAGTGTGTTGGTGTGCTCGTACAGGTACAGATAATTCGCAGCAAGGCCAGCTCCTTTCGGATAAACCAACATCCCCGGCAATATTTTTGCTTCCATTGATAATACGCACCAACCATTGATACGTGCATCATTTGTCTTCTGTCGTAGATGCTCAGGGGCATAGACTTTACAGACAAACTCACAACAGCAGTAGTAGCAGTAGTCGCAAAAAGAACTGTGATCGTCATAGTAGCTTATTGTTGCTGCTGCTGAGCAGGTTGCAGGCTCGACATTTCAGTGGCACGGGAGATCTACTTCGCCACGATCTACGTAGTAGCTATATACTGATGAGACTCCATGAGCATTGACGTCGGCATTCAGTTTTAACACATCAAACTCTTCCGAGATGTAGGCGTTCGGCAGATAGTCTGAAGCGTTCGATGGGGTTGCTGTCGGCCCAGCTCTCAAGCTGACGCAAAGTGACCCGTTTCTGGACCGCTTTGTCAGTTGCTCCTAGCGTTCCACCGGAGGTAGAGAAAACTTATAACCCATGTGCAGACAAAAATTCATCTCCGTATTGCCGTAAATTACGCCCTGCCTCGTCGAGATACTCGATCTGCGGCTCACCAACACCACCTCATATCAAACGAGAACGTAGTAAAGAAGCCGAAATGTTAGCAACCCGCAGTCCAACAGCACAACTAGCCAGGACATTTGCCGAAAACGGTACACAACCGATTGCGACGAAAGCCAGTAAAAGCATTCGAGACTCCCGTTCATGGAATTGCGCATGATAAGAACGGAGCGACAAAGTTAAGACTTTTGTCGCACGCTGCTCCTTGCAGGCATTCCCCTGCTCCACTGGCGCCAGGTCAAACAGAAAATGCTCCATTGCACGTAGTGCTGCGAGACCGAAAGAATTATCATCTTCAATTTCTTCGGAATTTCGGATCCACAACAAAGTTGCGTCGCGAGACCATTTTAGACTCCAAGAGTAGTCAGAGCTGCTCCTGGAGAGTAAGCTGCTAGAAACACAAACCACAATTCAACAATACCAGGCGCAGCAACAACAAAGCTCCGATAACACCAAATGGAAAAACAAGCCTAGCAACAATCACAAACAAGGAATAGAACCCGACCACCCACCCCCTTTCTCAACTAGACGAGGCAAAACAGCGCCATTCGGCGAAGAAGGTGGAAATCTTCAGCACCGCCCAGCATGTATTGATTGCCCGTCGAGCAAGAAGGTGACGAGAGTGTGAGAAAAAATTAGAGGCACCTGTTGCAGCTGGCAAGTGCAATTGACGGTTGATAAAGTGCACAGACCACGATGATAAGCAGCACTCATCACCACCAGCCATGTCATCATCAGAATCATCGTTATTACCAGGTCACTACCAGGACCAGCCGGATCATCACGAGCATCAGGATGGTCATCATGCCTGTCATGATGACCAGCATCAAAATCATAACGACAACCGCGTCAACATCATCAAATCAAGGCTGCTCTAACAGCAGTCGTGCAGCCACAATAAGCATAAGAAGGAGAGAGCGAGACAATCGTCATGACCGTACGATATCCGTCAGAACCGAATGATCCCGTAGTCCTTGCAATTCCAAGAAACCAGGTCGAGTCTTGGTAAACAGAACTGTCTTGGTGATGATGTAAGCCAGCAAGAGCATCAACAACGGTACAGTATCAACGACCAGGACACAGAAGCAGCAACACATTTCAACAGCAGCTGCAGCAGCATCGTCCCCATCAACCCCTCCAATGATACTATCAAAAATACGCAGGGTGATAATGCTACAGGGAACAAGCATCTGATTATCATGGTGATCATACCACAGATGAAAAAGCAAGTGAACAGGCATTATCATAACAACAAAAACTAATGACTGAAAGAAAAATACTTGTAATGAAGCAGCAAACAATCGTAGGAAAGGTCATGATGACAATTCCTCCAACAAAACATACCAACAACAGCAACATGTCATGTGACAAATAGTGATATGTTACTGTCTTGAGACTTAGTGAAGAACACAAAGGCATAACGAATTAGAAGCAACCGCACAGCGTGCTAATGCAGATAATACATGAAGCAAAGGCAACCAACTGACAGTACGCCCAATGACATGGTTAGTTGAAATGAGTAGAGAGGTAGTGCCGTCATCTCCTTCCTCACGGGATCGACCCTGACCAGGCATAGCTAGGACCCCAAACCGACGAGTGTGTAGCAGCGTCGGAACTGGCCGATGTCTGTAATATCCGTCTCAGGGACAAAGTAGACCTCACAGAGTGCATCTGCGACCTCTGAAAAAATCCGAAAAGCCCACAGTGCCTCGATCTGACCCAATCGGAAACCAAACCGTTTCTCGATGCGCTTGTCCTGTCGTTGCAGAATGGTATCTATCTTCAAGAAGCATAAGTAAGTTGGGAGCTACGACTCGGAAACCCATAGTCTCTTGCTGGCAGAGACGCACGCCATGCTGCTACGCAGAGGACGCTAATCTAGATGTCATCATCAGGGCTTCGCTAGCTTAAAGGGTTTGTGCCTTGGACCTGGTTAAGGCAGGTCTGATGTGTCACCAAGATGATTGAGGCAGGATGCTCGATGACTTGCAACGTAGTTGACAGGGCTTCTGCCAACAAGAGCATACCTGAGGAATCGACATCTTGCTGGCGAAGCAACGTCAATGTTCTAGGGTCTCTAAAACCCACTAGGAAACAAGATACCCACCTGATGTGCAGATGAGCTTTTGTCTGCACATGTCCTCTCCCAAATTGTCGATAGAGAAATAGAAGGAAACCGTCATCTCACCTGCATGCACGGACAGCCTTTTCGGATTAAGGACATGTTAATGAGCAGAGCAGTGGCGTTCAATGAAAATTGCTAAGGTCCCTGCGCAAGGAGCCGAAATTGAGAGGTGGGATGTACCTGGAAGGATTGCGTGTTCGTAACGGACCATATCAAGCAACGAGCCGGGTTGACAAAGCCGCGTAGCTGTAGGACGTGAACGACAGCTGCCCATTCCTGAACAATCAAAGTATCTTCTCTGGAATTCAATTGCTCTCATTTCTCTTGCTGTCCAACTTCATCCTGCCCTGGTCAAATGTCTTGCAATTACATCTAGCTGGAAACTTTTCCACATGCAAACGAGATCAGGAACAGCTGGCAGTCAGGAAGTTGCCGCTGGAGGGCCATGTGAGATGCAAAAGCTTAAGCCGGTGACTACGCTAATGAAGATCCAGGTGCTCATCATGACAACGACAGCGGTGATTTTGATGCCGTCGACGATGATGAAGTTGGTGGGATGTTGGTTACAATGACAATGCTGGTTGCGGTGACGATGATGATGATGGTACAGATTCGCGATCGAAGTCACTGCAGTCAGCGATATACTCGTTCGGACGCTGTGTGAACAAATGACTAGCTGAGCCGTGGTTTTTACATGGGATGCAATAAGGAACCCCTTTCACGGGACCCTTGCGCAGTGCCCACTTCTGCGAGGCTTTAGCTTACGGCGGGCGTCAACTTTTGCATCGCTTCCGGGTAGTGAGCCCTGTGCATCGGTTGCAGACCTTTGGGGTACATAGGGAAGTAGTTAGGAATTTCGGAGGCTTCCAATCTAAGATCCGGTTTAAGTCCGTGGGGTAGAACTTGGCTATTTCCCAATCCAAAATTGCAGCAGTGCCCCTTTGAAGGAATGCTTGCCGACCAAAGACCCTTGCGATGACTGCAACTTGAGTGCGACTAGGCTTGGGATCACCGTTCAGAGGCCCACTTTCCGCAGAGCTTCCGCAGGGCTTCTGCGCACGAGTCCTACCTTCAATATACAGATCGACGGTCACATACACAAATGTAAGGATAGAGTTCTGGCTAACGGGGACCTCGGCAAGGCTTCTAAAGTTGGTTCCCCAATCCATGTGCAGTACCTCTGCTCAGCTAACTGTGCCCAGAATCGCTCCGGACTTGTAATGCTGTCGAATTTGCTGTTGGGCTTACCGTCGTGCCTTTGAGATTTGGGCAAGTCTTGCTAGTACAGGGGTTAGGGATACTCGCACGGTCAACTTGTGAGGTTTAGGGCCTTTAGGGTTTAGGGGCGGGCCACCACTCTGGAGTCCTGAATGGCTTCTGGGACGTCTAGGCATAACTTATCTTTGGAGTGAGCTTCCACGACCTTCCACCGACCAAATGCTTCCGCACGCGCAGTCCCGTGCGATGTTTTTGCGCGACTTACTACTGATGAGAAGAGCGAGACTAGCTCTGAGGCACTGGCTTGACGACGGCATTGTCACGAGCTTGGACGTCGCACTTGAAGAAAGTGTACCTTCACTGCATGTGGGGACTGTGTCGGGCTGAGAATCCAGAACGGCTTGGGCTCGTGCTTCTCGGTGAAATCACCAAAATTGCTGGCGGCTACCTTCCAATCGAACAGAGGACATCAGGCTCGCTAGGTCTGCACAGTCTCAAGCACCACAATCTAAGCCCGTGGCATCTAAAGGCAGCACATCAAGACGAGAGTACCTGCTGCATGCCATGTCTCTCCGTCTTGACTTCAGAAAACGATCGCAGACTCGGGGATGCATCAAGGACGAACACTGATTGCTTGCTCAAACGACCAACATGCTTCGGAACCCTCCTGGACTAATCTGCTGAGTTTCGGAAGAGTAGTGATGCGTGCCAAATCAAACCTGTGGCCTCCGCCTATGCTGTGATGCTCATTGCCGGCGCACTTGAGCACGCGCTCAATCAAATGTGGATGTTCCTCCAAAATGTATTGGGTTGCCTCACTGCTTCCCGTTCCGCGTGTTCATCTACCCAAGCTACAGCAGAGAAAAGTGCAATTGCGAGCATCTGCACAGCTTCCCTTCGCAATACTCTGCTTCAGCTGAGGCCGATGCAACAGAACTGTCGTAGCCAGACAAGACCTTGCAAGCCGTATGTCGCAAGGAAAGCACCATTGCCCGGATGCAGCGAATCGACCCAAATGTTAAGCTTGTGCCTCATACATCCGATGGAAGGCTTCACAAACTTCTCGATCATTCCAGCCCTCAAGGCTTTCCTGGCAGGTTCCCGCGTCATCTGACGTTTGTGGGCGAGCAGCGTTCGAGACTGAGCGCCCAGCGAAGGCTCGAAGAGCCCTTGTCACAGGGTCGTGACACGTCTCGAAAGCAGCAGCAGCTGTGAGGATCTCAGGTCGCTGCTCGAAATGCTCATGTTGCAAGGCGGCCGCCATGGTCTCAGAGGGTCAGAAGGATCAGCAGCGCGACTGCGGAGCTTGGTAGCACTCTTGCGCGAAGACTGAGAGGCTGGCTGGATAGCTTGGCCACGCCGAGCTAGTGCCAATCAAGTCTGCAGGGCCCGCACGCTGCCTGGCTGACATCAGAACCCCCTCACTCATACCGATGAGCCTCATGTTGCCTCAGATTAATGTCAGGAACTCTAGCATGTGTTCACTTGCAGAAGCCATCTAACCATGAGCGCATGGTTTCTGGGACACACTTCGGATGCACTACTTTTCACGTCTTACGAGCGACGATCCTCATGTAGGTACAAGCAGCCACACCATACATGCTGTGCGACTCCCCGATCTCCACAGGAGACAAGCCTGTGGCACGAACCCACTTACCAATGTCAGTACAAACCTCGACATCGAAGTGTTGAGCTTTCAGAATGTCCATCAAGTCGTGCAGGTCACGGGGCATGAAGGCATCACAGAGCAGCAAAAGCCCATCGGACCGTAGAACTGCCCTTGCCGACTCTACGAAAGCAGCTTTGTCCTCGATGTCTGCCACTGCCTCGACACAGATTAGGGCATCAAAGGCATCTGCCCCATACATTGAATGAAGTGAGCAGGCATCGGCTCGTTCATAGCGCAAGCTTGGAGGAAGCGGAGCGTGGATGGTGTTACAGAGGCGGATATTGTCTTCCGAATCATCCGTTGCAACATATTCGCGAGGCTCAGCGACTTTAGCCAAATATCGTGCACCACCACCTCGCATACAGCCGACCTCCAAAACGGACTTGCCTCGCAGGAGGTCCTCTCTTATATCAGTGATAGCCTCGCCCCGCGTCACGGCAACATGCCAGTACAAGGCTGCCCCGTACATGTGCATCTGCCACTCCCAAGAACCTTTTGGAAAGCCTTTCTGCAGCACGATTTCCGGTCGGGGGATTGGCATTCCAAATTTGCCTCCCGAGTTACAAATGTCAAGAATGGGTGGGTATGTGGAAGTTTTCTTTTTGCCCAGCCACTTCTCCAGCTGGAAAAAGAAGCGGCTCATGACCGTCTCCGGCAGATAGTTTCGCCAGTCTGGGAGCTCTGCAACATATCCACGCTTTGGATTCTTCCTCGCCCAATACCTCCTGACCGTAGCATGGATATACCACTCCGTTCGAAGGGAGGCACGTGTCCGGCTGCGGAGCGCTCCACAGGATTGCATGGCTGCAGATGCAGCGAAAAAGAGAAGCTTTAGCTGAGCCTAGCTCGGCTGAACCTTAAGCATCGGAAGCTACCGGATGCTGCCACTCCAGCCCAGTCCGTCACATCCCCTCTATGAACACTGCAATCAGGGAGAACCGCAATCAAGCGACGTCGGACATCTATCCCGTACGATGCATGGGTTCCGAGGCCTCTGTGTGGGCAACTTCTTTGGCGACCGACATCCTGCAAACTGCCTGAACAGAACATGCGCGAGCACATCACGGATCCAAATCTGCATAGTGTCCCCCACCTGGCACATCAGCTCCATCTGTACAAGATCTTCTTCTATGCTCTTTAGGACTCTGTTGATTGAGCTTCGGTGCTGCGCTCATATCATCTTATCATCTCCCAAGATGCTGCCTGCACATGACAATGAACAAGCACTCGTGTTCAAGATGCGCAGCTGCCATGTGGTTCTGTGTGTCTGCGCCCTGCTTGAGACCACCGGCAGGGCCATCATCAAGCACCGCGTTCATGCAATGCCTAACAGCCAAACAAAACCATGGTACTTGCTTCAAGGCCCGTTACTCGTACACTAAGCACAAGTTGGAGGCCTCTGTGCGAGAGAGGCCCTCAGTTTGGCCTGCCTGGCTTCCCAAAACCTTTGCCTCTAGCTTTGGCCGTCCGCGCTGCCGTGCAAGGCGGGCTGCGCGGCTGAGAATGCCCCTCAGCGTCCTGGTACAGCGCGTGATGTTTCATGACATGAAAGGCCAAGTCGGCACCTGTCCACCACCTCTGCAGTAAAGGCTTCGGTGTCTCTGCTCCGTGTGGATGCCTGACCTCGCCGGCACAAGGGTGCCGATGCTGTGCACAGTGGAAAGCAACTGAAACTGACGCAGCAATGCAGTCGTAGCGAGCTGAGCTTCGTACTGTTGGATCCTAGGCTTTCTTCCAGAATCCTCCGAGCGACCTGCAGCACCTCAGTACGACAGCAGTCACAAGATATGAGGGCTTGTACGTCATACCAGGTTAACAACGTCCAATCATCAAACACAGTCATGAGGCTGCTTCGTCGCCAGCGGTCATGGCATGCTGAGCTGAGCTTACGGAATTACCGCACGATGCGAAGTGGAGATGATGCAAAAGAGTACTGTAATCGGTGCTGCGGGTGAACCGAGCTATGCACATTCAGGTTGGTCAGAGTATGGATACTCATGCTTCCAACCAGCCTCAACATATGAAGTCATGAGCCTGACGATTGCAATCAGCATACGCTCCTGTTTTTGAAGCTGCCGCCTTCCTGCAAGGATCCTCGGCATCTTGCATCCGTGCTATGCATGACCCGTTTCCACTAGCTCTCTTCTTGGTCGCCGGGATATAAGTACTTCAACGATGCAAACGCAGAAACAGCCAATGGATGCAGCAATCTGGATGTTATGAGTCATGAGTCGCAGATGAGAACAGCACACAGTCGGAGTCCGACGAATGACAACACAAGTACTACTACAAGCAGAGAGCAACCCATGATAAGCACACACGGACACATACATCGAAACACCTGCACGCTATCTTGTTTTGCTCCCTTCAGCATATCGGCTCCGCTGCCAGCTGAACCACATCTCCTGCTGTGGCTGTCGGGCTGTCCCCCTGCCACCTGGAGCTGGTCGGCTTCTGGCGCTGGCATCTCCTGGCTCGTGGAGCTTGGGTTTCTGCGCCCAGTTTCAGACGGGGCGCTGCGACGGGAAGGTTCGGGGCTTCTGCGGATCTAGACTGGAGCTGCCCTCTAGGGATGGACCTTTCGGGCCAAGGTCAGCAGATGCAAGTCAGTCAGTTGACCGAGCCATTTCGCTGATCCCTTGTCCGTCGATTTCCGTCTGCCTGTATCCAGAACACCATGAGAGACACCGAAACCAAAGCTCTGCACAAGCACCTACGAACCCCAAGTCACCCCAATCAGCCGCATTAATACATAGCATTAACAAAACACCATGGATCAGCACAATCTTAATCCTGGCGTCATCATTGGTCGCCACTCATGGGCCAGTTGCCCAAATCTTCCATGACCTGAACCCGGCTGCTGTAAGTGAAGGAGAGCATGATTGCGAGCAACACAGGGGCCACGACTCGACGAAACTTGTTGTCAACCGTAAACCGCGCTTGAGCATAGCGACCACCGAGCCTTCGGAAAGGATCAGAGCTCACAAGTGCAGCAGTGATCCAGATTTCCCAACACGGTGTTCTTCTTTCCTTATTCTTTCTTACCAGTGCAGATCGGCCTTTGGCCGTCAAGCCGCCGTGCGTTTCGGCATTCCTCGTTGGTCTCGAACATCGCATACACCTCCGCGCCTGCAGAACTTCGGTAGCCACATGGCCGAGACCGTGCCCGTGACTATTGCCCCTCAGGGTGACGGCCCCAGTGCCTCCGTCTCCGTACCAGCCCAAGGCCAAGTGCGCTGGCACCAGGGGGTACAAGAAGTCACGTACATCCTGCTCTGTGATGTCATCAGGCTTGACAGCTTCGTCGGGGAAGGTGATCTTCAGCGTCCTGCCAGATTGGTGCTGCTTGGAACTTGGGGTGCCCACAAGCTGCACTCGGCAGCTGCACTCGGCACTCTCGACCTCTCGAGCAGCTCCTCGTTGTTTGCTCCATGTTTGGCTTATAGCTCAGCGGCCTTACCAGATCCTCCATGTCCTCGAAATGCTTGAAATGGCAAGTCAGAGTAACTTTGGCACGGGAGCGGCGGAGCAGGAAAACGAGAGTACGAGAAGGCAGAGAGAGGGAGGGATGCAACACGAGGCCGAAAACGCATTCATCTCATGAAGCCTCGGGAAGGAGGGCATCGATGCGGCGAATGTATCTGTCAAGTAGGTGGAAGTGTCCTGGGCGGACATGCCCAGCCAATCCGCTTCGACCCCAATGCGGTAAATGTCTCAACCAGTACGTCCAGACTCATACGGGATAGCATCGGGCAAAGGCTCCTTTTTTGCCACGGCCGGTCTGGCCACGCCACTTCGACATCCTCAGACAAGAAAACATCACACTTCGCGGTTTGAACACCCGAAGAGGACTGGCGAACTCCTAGCACACGGCCCAGGCTCGGAGCTGTGAATTCCGACGTTTGTCGCCATCTCTGGGCTTTCTCGCCTCCTCGTCCATCCTGCAGCTCCGAAAGAGCACTCCGCATGACTTGTGCTTTGCCGCAAAGTCTTTCTGGGGCATTCACAGCGGAGGCAGCGAGTGCAACACAGGAAGCGATACACGCCTTGGAGGCAGAGCTCTCTAAAGCCCCGCCAAGCCAGCGCAAAACTTCCCCTCGGGAGATCAAGGGAACGTAATCCCAAGATTTGACATCGTAAGCAGCGGGCACAGACAGCGCTTCCCGCCCATCGCACGAAGCCCGTTTCCGCACTCATCCCCTCGTCAACTTCGGTCAGCTTCGAGCTTCGATCGGATCGCTTTGGGTCTGTGGAGATGCTGCACGCGACTTGAGGCTCGAACCAGACCTTGTCCAAGTGCCTGCACAGCGCTGGCTCACGCTTGGGCTACTGCGAATGTCCCAACAGCAACATGTTCGACCCCGCTGCCCCTTCTCTCCGAATCACTGATGGTGCATGACGCGTCTGAGAGAGCACGAGCAAGGCACATCTAAAGTTTGGGACACGTCTTGAAATTGCTTCCGAATCAGCGACTGTCCTACACTATGCATATGAATTTCAGTGCGTAGGCAGTGATGATATGGCACGAAGCATACAAATTGCACTCAAACTGTTCTCTGACACACATGCATTCACGATCATCCTAGTCATCACAACCAGCATAATCAACAGGAGAGCTGTGACGAGCAAGTTCCATGACACGGGTGACCAGGGCAGCAATACTAACAGCATTAACAATTCCAAGTACAAGTACGACAAGCGACTCTCAGCCTCGAAGATCACAACAAGATGAGAACGGCAGCACTGGTAACGCTAGTGGTGATGGTTACGATCATTATGGTGCATCTTGCTGTTGCTGGCAAGCGAATAAGCTACCGTCCCCGAAGCTGTGACAAAGTCGCGGCACGGTAGCCTCCGAAGACCTCATCCGGAGTCTTCTTGCGCATGAGAGGCCGTTGTGCAGACCGATGCTGCCCAAGAGACCACCCTCAGTGCTAATGCATGTAGCGATTTGTACGCGCGGAAGTATTTCCACACATTCGCTCGGTTTCTGCCGGTAACACTGTCTTCTCCGAAGGTTTAAATTCAAGGCTTGAGGCTTGTACAAGCAAGCGCAATCTTTCTTCAGCTGAAGTGGTCTTCCCAGATGGCTTAGGCTTCGTCGTGACGGAACGAGAATTTGCCAAGGACACCTATGGAAAATGAGAGGCCATGTCCCAGGGCGCAAGGATGCAAGCACGGATGCAGAACGGACTGATCTGAGAAAAAAACAGACAGACACCGTTTGACCTCTTGGTTAATCAATCGTCTAGCGTGACAGGCGATGAAGGCATTCTGAGAGTTGTTCAGAAAGGAACCGAGAAGAGAGAGAGAGAGAGAGACAGAGAGCCGACAGCTCACGAATAAGTCGATCACGTGTCCAGGCAGGCTGGGTGCGACGAGCGCCATGGCACCACTGAGGACAGGTAGGCAGGATCTATGTTCCTGGGAGTGTGCACGGAACTCTGTTTCAAAGGAAAGCCGTTCGCCACTGTTGTTGAAGGCTTTTCGAAAGCAAGCTAACAGCAGATCCGTCGCAAATACCCAGCTGATGTTATGGTCCGTGAGTTTCGCTCGCCTGCGTTTACAAACGATCTTGTTCAACTGCTTCAAAGGCATTGCTTGAACTGCTCAGACACAGTAGACGAGCAACTGATTGCATGTGAGTTATCGTGAAAGGACGGAAACAGCTCTGGCCATAAGCATGCTGTCCAATGCTGTCTGCTGTCTATGTGGCTTCCCATCGCAACAAAACTCTGCATCTTGCGCCCGGTATAGGCCACCCACATGTGAGAAAAGTGAGCCCGTGCTTGTGCATTGACCATTGACCATGGTTAGTACGCCACAGAACCAAACGATATGTGCAGATGACGCACACTAGGAATTGCAAAATCGAGCATGATTTCCCAGAAACCACTGCAGCAGCAACGTTGAATGCGAACTGTCAGACAGACGTGATGGGGGTCCAGGGCGCGAGGAAAAGTCGATGCAACGATGACCGAGCACATCAACTTCTTCGGAGCTTTCAGCCATTTCATAGAGGCACTGTTTTGATGCCGTTGGATGATGACCCTGAAAAAAGTTGGCCACTGAAATACAAGTCTACACTGACGTACCGAATGTGGTTTGTTTGGCTGGGGTACCCGAACCACGGGTGAGAACTTGACAAAATGATACCGGTCATGCACGAATATCTGATACATGCGTTCTCTCTTGCTGCATTTCGAGCTTGCTGCGCATTTCATTACTGCACTCCCTCGCTGTTGAACCAAAGCACATTCACAAAGCAGCCTGTTGAGGGCCATACTCCTGGACTCGGAGTGTGATTCGCTTGGCAAACACTGCCCGAATACACATCTCGGTGTGTGCAAGTGATCGACTATGAGTGTTGCAGTGCTGTGCTTCGTAGTAACTTGGTGTACTGTAGTTTATTCACATCTAGTCGTACTGGTCTGTGTCAACTTCCATTCAACATTGAGAGAAACCTTCCCTGCTCATCATGCAAGACCAGCCAGTGCACAGTGATGGGTAAAGTTGTGGTCTTTCGCAGCGCTGACTTTTCGTGTCCTCGGCCTTCACATCAGCGTCTGTCCGTCCAGAAACCCCATCTTTGCCAGCATCACGACAGTCCTCGATTCCCGTTGCAACCCACACAGAAGTTGATCGGAGGTCTGACATTCGCTGAGGCTGCTGCCTGCACATCCTCGACGAAGTCAAAGCCACCATCGCGACCGTCATCCATGTTGTGCAGCATCTGCCTGGCACTCGTCTGGGATTGCTGGCCGTTTTCAAGACAAGCAGAGACCTCAAACTTAAAGGCGCGGGGCTTTGTTCAATGCGCGCGCAATGGCTCGAGATCCTCACCGGTGCGCGAAAACTGTCTTGATAGGTCAACAGGTCCGACTTGCTTTCGATGGTAAGTGAATGTTTGCTGTTCGACGAAACGAATAGTGTGGGAATCAGCCGTTAGGACTCCTTGTACAAGTATGAACTTTGCCGGGAAACCGATACAACTCAGCGTCTTGCAGGCCTTTTCAAACTGCAAAGAACCTCTGGTTTCCCGGCACCATGTCCAAACACGCACCAGCGTCTGTACGAAGACATGCAAAGAGAGGCCAATCTCTTCGCACACTCGGCTCGAGAGGAAGTAGACTTTGTCTCGTTCACCTTTCGCCTTGCATGGGCTCAGACAGGTCCCATGGCAGTGCATAGTGGTCCTGGTGCAGGCTCGCATTTCAAGCATACGGCGATCTGGCTGGGACAACCCCGGAAATCAGATCTGCAAGATCACGAATAAAGGCCTGACTTGATCGAAATGCATTCGCATTTCCTGTTGATTTCTGCTTGGAAATAGTCGCCTCAACTGCCCAGTCCGCTGCTTTCACGTTGGGAGTTGGAAGCACGCATGTCTGTGCTCATCTAAGCCGAAACGATTCTTCCGTTCCTGACTCTGTCAGAGCAGCTTGTGATGCAGGAGGTCGAGATGTCTTGGAGCATCGCCGCAATCACCTCCCGAATCTTCGACGCAGAAAAGTCTTCAAAAGAAAAACCCTCAAAGCGGATGAAGCCATGTATAATGTGTATATTTATATATATATATATAGTTGTTAATGATATTGTCACTATTGTTACTATTGTTACTATTGTTATTATTGTTAATATTGTTAATATTGTTATTATTGTTATTGTTGTCATTATTGTTAATGTTGTTAATATTGTTAGTATTGTTATTGTTGTTATTATTGTTATTTTTATTACTATTATCTCTGCTCAAGATCGCTTCCGCTTCCGGGCCGACCTGGAGGGCACCGTCCTGGTCCATGCTCTCGCAGGGTTCTCCGGAGGCGAACTGGTCCAAGGTCCCTGGCAGAAGAGTCCCTTAAACCCTAAACCTCATAGATCCCCTATAGATCCTTCAAACCCCAAACCTTGCACCCTCCCTTAAGGAACCTATGAGCCAAGGGCCGCTAAGCCACCGAATTCCCCAAGTCGCTGCTTTTAGCTGCTTAGCGTTGAATTTCGCCCGGACGACGCGAACTCAACATTTGCACCGAGAGGGGAAACTTAGTAACTTAGTATACTGGACATTTCAAAGTACACGAACCACTCGTAGCCCCTGGACGCCAAGCCCTGAAAAACCTCAACACACCAAAACCAGTGCGAAACCGTAAATATCCTCAACCCGAACCCCAAAACCTCAGCCCATCTCAGCCCTAGTTCCCAAAACCAACAAACACTATACCCTAAGTCCAAAAGAAACCTATACCCTGTACCCTCCACAACATAAACTCACGGTCATAAGGGACTGGGCTGCTGCCGCAAAACGCTAAATCGTCATTGGTCCACAAATGACGCGCAGCAAACCCTACACACTGAAAAAGCTCATACAGATACAATTAACTGCACTCTTTCGAGTCCCACGGGCTTGGAGCTCAATGCCGGAATCACGGCTCGTTCTTGAACTGCGCTTCAATGTGCGGACTTACATTGTCCGATCAGCATTCGAGAGTCTGCCAATACCGCAAGGACTCCGACGCAATTATCTCAGGGGTTGAGTCACAAGTGCATACAAAGGACAATCTGACGTTCTACAACACTGCCTATCACCCTGTCGGCCCTGGGAACAACAGCCGCTGCCTGGTGTGCGCATCCTTTGCTCGACGAAACCATGTGCAGGCCGCAACTCCTTGTGTTTCGGTGACAGGTCAGCTCGGTCGGGCGTGTGGATCTTGCTCAAGAATCATGACGAGTATCAGCACAAATCCGCGTTAGGGGTGGGCAGCTGGCGAGGCCGCGATGACCTTGAAGTCCAAGATTCACCTGACAGCTGTCCCAGTATGTCGACGAAGCAACAACCGCTGAGTCATACAGGCATATCGTGTCACGACAATGGATCAGACTCCTGTCTGAGGGAGGGCCATGTTGCAAGCACTTGGCATGTTGCGTCGTGCTTGAAACGTATCTTCTTGCTAATGGACATTGAGCTTTGCTTGCAATGTTGCAAGGCTTGCCTGTGGAGGGAAAATACAACCCGCGAAGCATTTGACTCGAGAGGTGGTGCAACACTGTCCGTTTCGGGAGCCCAAGGACTGGAAGCCTGGCGGGCAAACGCAGAGAGGTGTGCATTCCGGCAGCGGGCCCAGCGGCTGGCGTGGGTCCAGCGCATTGGGATCCCGGCCCCGGGAGGCCTGCAAGAGTCTCTGGGAAAGGGCGCACACAACATGTGAACGGCACCGCCCTGTGGCCTGGCAAGGAGCTGCTCTCGGCCAGCGCGGCCCGGCAGCTTGAGAAGGAAATCAGAAAGCCGGCGCCCAGATGCATCAATCTCACATCTCTGTAGAACTTGCAGGAACAGGACGGTGATACTGCTGCATCTCGAAGAGGTAATCGGCGATTTGGTCCTGCCAAAAGTTTGAGTGACTCTGGGCACAGACTTCAAGTCCGTGCCGATTGAGAAACTCGTCACCGATTCGGCACTTTCACTGTGCTCCTCGTTCAGGCCCATATCATTAAAGGCAGCCCCCTCACGGGGTTGCGCTAGCATTTTGCGCAGACAGGATTTGTTGTGAAATGTCACCAGATGGCGGTCAGGAGCCCTACACCTCTGCCTCCACCGCCGGCTCCGGCTCAGGAGGTGGAGCCTTGCTGGTTAGCTGTCGGACATGCTTCCCACTGCTTTAAAACAGGTTATGATGGCACGCATCTCCTCTCCAGCCCTTGCTGTGTTCCCTCCCTAACCACATCCTCTGTGTCTAGATGCCGCATCACTTTATGTAGGTCGGCCTGCCTGTCACAACACACACACACACACGACAGTCTCTGAAAGCCGCGAATGGCGTCTTAGCAGGCCTCTTTCGCAAGTCCAAGTGCACACAATCGCCGGGCCCTAATAGTTTTTGGGGCAGGCGATGGAAGATGCACAGCAACTACAGGTCTGAGAATAGACAGATCGAAAGCAAGCGAAGAAACCCCGCCGCGGCCTTCTCCTCTGCCTGGAACTGAACTCAGGAAGCAGCTTGCAGGCAACATGACGGTGAGATGTGGGCAGGTCAGGTAGTCAGGTCGGGTTGGCCTCAAAGGAGGCCTTTTGCCGTGGCGCAAAGCGCTTGGCTCGCTCGGCACGCCGCCTCTCCTCCTCCTCCGGCTTTGCTGGAACTCTCTTCCCGAAGCTGCGACAGGAGGCGCCGCTAAAAGTGGTTCAGCAGGCACCTTGTCCACCGTAAAAACAACCTCGCTGGCTGGAGTGACAGCAACTGCGCACGGAAGCCATGGCGAGTGTGTACATTCCGGCTGGGCCTCAGGAACCTTTGCTGAAGCGCCTCGGCACTGCTCAGAGAACCCTTGAAAAGGCAGCTGGGTCATTTCACTGAAGCAGCACTCCCGAATCTGTGGACCTGGCTGGATTGACCAGAACTCAGCTGACAGAATGGCAACAAGAGCTAAGGATGTTGCGAACTCTGCAAGTTCGTTGACTTGCATGCGCCACAACAACCAAATTTGCGACGTGGACGAATTCTCAGCTGAGACACGAAGGAGCAGCTGGCGATGGGGTGGCGCCATGTTGACCCCGCACAACACTCGGTGCCTTCTGGATCAACATACGAGCCTAAAAAGGAAACGATTGCAGAAAATCAACCCAGCTGGGCCTGCGAAGGACGTAGCTCAGCCGACCCATGTGCATACACCTTAGCCAGCCAGCACTGGACTATGCAGGCATTCCCAACACAGATGAGAGAAGGAAGAATGGTTCACAGCAGTCTCGAAGCTCAGACAGTCTGAGTGGCGCCAACCACTGTCTACTCCCTGCTGCCTGGGATGCGCACACAACGGTCCGCTCGAGGACAACTTCCTTTCATCACCTGCAGAGAGAACGAAGCCAAATTAAGCTGATGCCAGCTCTTTTGGTGAGGTCTACGGCCTAACACCTGGGACAACAAATACCGAGAACGAGCTTCAAAAGGGTTCAAAGATCGGCTGCTGGAAGGTTCTTTTGCCTCGGAGGCTGACAGCTCCGCCTCTTATGCTGCTTGACCTTTGCCTGTACGGATGATGTGAATGGCACAGAATATACTCTTCAGAATGTTGCGAATGCCCTGAACTACACTCTGTGCTTCCCATGCTGTGACAGCAGCAAGTTGCGTTGCTCCTGCGTTTCAACAAGGGCAGAGACTGCTCTTCACAGCTGCGAACACTCTAACTCTGTAGAGAAAAGCATCTGGATGTGCCTGCTTGGCAGCTTCACGAAAAAACTCCCCATGTGACGACAGCGGGTCGTAGGGCGCTTCCAACCCTTGCTCCGTATGTGATTGCATGACAATGCGGGGCCCTGAAACGTCCGGAATGGCGTCCCTGTCCGATGTCGTAGTGGCTTCGAAGTTGTTCCCCGTGGGTGGACAAACCGGCAGGACTCTAGCTTTCTGGCTGCGCAGCAATAAAGGTGACTGGGTTCCAGTCATTCGCGGGGTCGATGTGCAGCCCAGGACTGTTCTCCGATTTCTCTTCACACCCGTTTCTAAGGGATGGCCTACCTCACTGGCAGAAACTTAGATAAGGCAACGAAGGATCCAGAGGATGTGCAGCATAACACCTCGTCCAAATAGAAGACAAACTCAAGCATTAGAAAAGCCGCCTCCCCCAATTCATCTGGGATTACTGTCGAGTGTCGATTGGTGCGACACGAACGTGACTCGTGTATTGCCGCATGTCACAACAAAGCCACGTGCTAGTTTCAAAGTTGTCATCCATTTCCCAGAGTAATAGTCGCGCTGCCCCACCTAGCTGCGGCCACAGAGCTCGTGTTCATTGAGGCAACATCAAGTCGAGAAACTCGTTCTGTCTGTCGCTCTTGCTCGCTCTTCCGGTCTTGCTGTGTTGAGACATGTTGAAAAGGTGCAAACCCCCTGCGCGAGTTCACACGTTCATATGGCTGACTGATGACGTGCATGTGCCTGATTCAAGAAAACGGCTGTTTCGAGCTGGGCTTCATGACGAAGCTGGCCTGAACATGCCATTCTGATCGACCGGATTTTTTGCGATGGACGTTTCAGCCTTTGCGTAGGTTCAGAAGCAATGCGAAATTGGTGCTCATTGGAGCAGTTCTCTTCTGTGGGCGTGAGTGATGAAAGGAGTTCCTGATTTGGAAAATCTTTCTCAAGACCTTGCAATGTGCAAAATTAAGGCGCTGAAGCTGCGAGCAGGAGTATGTCTTAGATTTTTGAACCATCAAGGAGAGTGGCTACGGTGATGTGTGAGCATGCCATCCGAGTTTTCTCTCGCAGGAGATTTGGGAGTGTCTGTTAAAGGGGCCGCCTCGAGGCAGGGAATACGATCAGGATGAGGGTAGCAAGAATGGCACCTAATCTAGGTGAACGATGAGGGCATCTCCACGGCGCTCGGTCAAGGATGCGGCCTTGCGGACTTATTGCCAGGAGCTGGCATTCATTAAGGGAAAAAGCTCCCCAGGCAGGCCCAACATTGCCACAAATACAGGAGTCGGTCGATAGCCTGGGTGATGAAGATATCATGGGAATGAACAGAAGGCAAGGTTTTGATAAAGCTTGGCGGATGATGCCTTTTTGAAAGCGGTAGGTTTTGGAGCGGTGGGGGCTGTCCTGCACCTGAAAAGATGGCCATAAAACAATCCAGCACTCCGATACGGAAACCTCTAGAGTCTAGAGCTGATAGAATCGAAGGCCTGAGCCCAATCAAGAAAAGAACACGAAACTAAACACTGTACCTTTCAGAATTTCACGGGTTTCAAGGATGTGGTTGAGAATAAAACTGGAAAGCTTGGGCATATACCCACATTATACATATCCGTGGAGACCTCAAGTTTCTTGGTCCACGGCCCAATGGTTGCACAGTCGCGTCTTGTACATAGGATTCCTGCAAAACATTAAATAGAAATCGGCACCAGAGACACAGCAGTGACATCAGCAACACAGTCCTCGCGACAGCTGCGGCCCAGTTCCTCAAAGAGTGGACATGCCTCTAGTCTCTTGACCGGCTTAGTAAAACTCGAGACCGCCACCCGGCAAGGCGCTCATGTACCTGGCATAGTGCGGTAAATGAGCTCTGGAAGTGGCTGAAGGGAAGAGGGCAGGTTGGGTGCCGAAGTCAGAGTCGACCGACATGAAGTGGCGACAAATCACGAACTGCAACCTAGAAAGTCATGACTACAGGCGCTTCTCTGCCAACATGCCGGGAGATGCATGGTCAGGATGATCGTTCACTTACTTGGGTCTGCCGGAAAACTCCTTGCTGCTCCGCTATCTAGCTGTGCATAAGGCAGAAGGATGTGTGCTGGACCACTTTCGCAATGCCCACAGAATGACGATTACAGAAGAGTGCAGTCTAGCCCGGTGGAGCCGCTTGCGATGGTAGGGCGAATCATGAAGACTCTTCCATGACTCTTCAGCAGTACGCATGCATGCGGGACAGAGTGCCCCACCAAGCGCTCACATGCTCGATGTGCTGCACAGAGCTGCCACGGAAGGAGGCCTGTCAGAAAAGCAAGCGCAGATGCGAACGACGGGCGTTTCCGATTGAACGTCTTACGGTCAAGTCTCATCTGTCAGAATCGTCCGCCACTTCTGCCACCCTGTGATCCATGGCGCCTGTTGCCACCTGTTCTGTCTCCCACCGCTCTAGGTTCAATGTGACCCTCGAGCTGTCAGCATTGCGGTGACTGGCCAGACTTGCAAAGACTAGCAACAAGAATTCTACATGCATTGCCCGCTACTGCCAGCACCGTTTGCTCCATTTGCCTGTCTCCGGGAACAGCACAAAGCGCAAATCCTTCAGCTCTGCCAGAGACAAAGTCTCATCCACATCCTGGCAAGCAGTTCCGGCAGTCGGATAGCCCCAAGGCACGGCCTACGGTACAATACCTGCAACACTTACCCTCTGCTCGCAAGCTTGTAAGATGACCTAGATGTCACGCTGCAGCGAAGTGGGCATGCAAACTTGGCACATGGCCCTGTCTCGGCTCACCTCTGGGTCGCCCCGGAAGAAGAGCTGCCTCCCGTCGACGGCTATTCCTGCATTGCATCACTGTCAGAACGTGGACAGAAGTTGAACACCCCGCAGTTGCGCCATTTACCCAGCATGAAGCCCTCCCTAACTGGGGTGTACAGGTTCGAGCAGCCCCACGTCCTGCGAAAACACCTCATGACTCATAAAATGGTCCTAATCGCGGGTCTGAGAATGGAAACTCAATCTGCCAGATGTGAGTAGTAGCCATGTCAAAACCAGTGGCTGAAGTCCGAAGTCTCACGAAGGCTCTGATTTGCCCAAACTCTCACGATCGCTGTGTCCCATAGGGCCAGAGCTCAAAAGGTCCCGGACAGATTTCAAGTCAACGGGCTGGGTCTGCTTTAGAGCACGGCTTGGGCCAAACAACAAATCCAAAAGAACAGGTGAAGCCGCTGTGCCACTGTGTGCTGAGGTTAAAGCCGGTGCAGCCTCTTTGAAAATGCCAGACAGGATGGCACCGACCACCGGCTGTGTAGCATAGATTACACCAAGCTGTCGCTCACGACCCTGCAAAACCTGGTCCCTGCCTCGACAGTTCAGGAACCGTAGGCAGCATTGGGAGATGCACTTCTCCTGTCCAAAACTTGCAGCCAGAAGTGGCATGGCAGAAGCCTCGTTCAACAATGGCAGCGGCAGCACACCCACACCGTCGGAGCGAGAGGAAATACGGCTTCTGCTTCTTCCAGATTCTAGTCGTCCCCTCGCTGCCTCCTCTAGGCGCGGAAGACCCAGGACCTTGGCCGCTCGCAGCACGTCGAAGCAGCACAAAGCTTCCTCCACCCTCGACACCTCCTCGGGCGGGGAAGCACGTGCAATCGGTCGTGGACTCTGCGGGCTGGACGTCCAAAGTCGCGAGTCTTCTTCGTTTGCACCGGGACCGGCAGAAGCAAAGCGAAGTGCCACCAGCAAAGCATCTTTGCAGATCTTCGCCGAGCTAAGATCAACACTTCTCAAGCTGGGCGATTGCGATTCTTCTTGCAAAAGGGCAGAAAGTGTCGGGACACAGGCTGCCAAGTGGAGGCCATTTTCTACACGGACGGTAGAAGAAGAGAGCTGAAAGTCGATCTGGAAGTTCGGCTTTGCTTGCTTGGGGCTTTCCAAAGCTCCCCACATGGAAGGCTCGCAAGGCTCGCCCCAAACCGGCACATCCGTCTCACAATGCTTCAGCCGCTTACGCTGTGCAAGCAAGGACTCCCAACTAGCCTGAGCAGGAGGAGACGCATTGCTGAAACTCCTTTTGCATCCCGTGGCTGATGAGAGCTGCCATGATGCCTGTTCCATCACAGTTTTTCAAAAGTGATCGGCATGGCCCATCCACGGACAAGCGAGATTCTGGATTTCATCAGCTACTACGTTTGTCAAAACACAGCAACTGCAGCTTGTCGGACTCACTTGATTCAACCGTGACTACTGTAAACTTCCACACAGCTGCAAACGGAGAGCTATAGATCCACATCACAGAACGTGCCTCTCGTGACTCTTTGACTCTTGCCCTGCCTGCCGTCGCGAGCCTTGCACGCACATCGGCGAGCGTAGCCTACCGGCACAGCAGGCAGTCTTGCTGCTGTCGAATGTGGCCACCGTCAAAATCCACAAGTTCACATGCTTCGATAGTTGAATTACAAGCTTCGATTCACCATCGAAAGCCTTGAGGGCCATGCGCATCCGAATGGGCACCTGCGTCAACGAACCCCGTCACAACACCAGGTAAAAACGTACCTGTGCAGGGATGTGAACCTGAGCACCGCAGCCTGTATTTGTGCACAACGATGAATACATGATGGTGGCGGAGGAGTATCTAGATCGCCAATGTTGTGCCGTCTTGGATCCCGACCATGACAGTGACCCGCGTCCTTGCCTTGTGGTGAACTGTCAGTCATGTCAAGAGAGCAGGACGCGCTAGTCTTTCGAATGCCCATCTCAAGGGCCTCTGTACATGCAAGAATCGTGACGTCTCGCACCGGAGCATCTGCAATGTTGCCACGGGCCGCACAGGAACAAACGTCGCCGGCAAGAGGGGCATGACGGCTCCTGCATGCCAGTCACTCCATACTGCAGCAACAGCCTTGCTTAGTGTTTTGTCGTTGTTCTTACAACGTGTCAGATAATCTCATCAACGAACAATGCGGAACAAACGGCATGTCCTGATCCAAGGGATGCAGCACTCGCAGACTTGTTTGCCTGGATCGCAAAATGCGGCAATGGCTGTTGCACCATCGCTTGAAACACAGTCTGATATCGGGCTGTGTATCGATCCGAAGGCTCGCTGTCTTTGTAAACTTAACGGCGGCTGCGGGCTAGAGCAACCTGCACATCAACTTCACCACCTGCTCGTCGAACTTGCTGTCATTACCGCCAGGGGCACCCTGAAGGTCCGAAGCGTGCCTCACACGCAGCACACACACACAAACATATCGCAAGATGTAAGAACCAACCATAGAACCAACCCGACATGATGTACTCATTGTCCTATGTTACATAATGACCTGGATGCAACCTGCATTCAATGCAACCTTCCGTTTTGATAAAACCTTCGAAAAACACTGCCGCCTCAACTAAACTTAAACAAGTTGCGGTTGCACTCGCGCAGAACTTCTACTGCGGGAGCGCGAGCGAGATTTTTGGCAAAGATGCGCGGCCGAGCTCATGGCGATCCAAATCACCACATGTCGTCCACAATGTCATGTCATGCTGCTTGTGACCTGATCGAACTACCGAAACGGGGAGACTCAACTCTCCCATCAACATGGCCCACACGGAAACGATAGACTGCAAATGGTCCACAAGCCAAGCATGGTGCAAGGAGAGAGCATGCACCTTGCAAGGTCGTGAACGGTTTGAACCGGTTGAGAGCACAGTTCGGCTACACATCTTGGTGACAGAAGAACACAGACCTTGGTTGTGTAGCAGCTCGAGCCAGCTGGATCTGCCATCACAACTGCTGAGGCATGCTTCTCACCCGAAGTTAGCAATTCGATTTCTACTATCGAGCTAGCGCATCCGGGCAGGTGCCGCACAACTTGTTAGCTCAACTGCAGCATATGGTGTACGGAATGTTCAGCTTTGCCGCTTTGGGTAGTACGCTTATTCCAACAAATCACGAATCGCAGACGTCTTTTGGACGAGGGAACACGTGAACATTGCGATGCATATAGACCCATAGGCTTATACATATCTGTCATTCCTTGAGTCAAACAAATACAAGCTCATAAGTCAGAAAAGAAAGGAAGCGTGCACTCGGACATCGACCATGTGTTTTATGCTCAAGCACTGGGGCGAGATGCGCAGTTTGTGCGAGGTAATCCGCTTTAATTTGTTGTCACTGATCAAAGCAACAGTCCTTCATTGGTCCCACGCTTAAGATGGCAAAGCCCGATCCCAAATCTGTGCTTGGGTGCTTTCTCTGAAAGAAACCGCTCTTTTTCCTTGACCTGTGGTCCCAAACTTTGATATTTTCTTCGGCCACCACAAGGGGGCCAAAACAAACCTTATTTTGGCGTCAGCGGGCCTCGTTGGCTGCGGCTGCAGCACTCGGTCTCAGTAAACTACGTCTAAACAAACAAACACACGAGAAAACAGCGGTGAAACAGGGCAAAATTGATCGCGGCTACGTAAAAGTTGCAGCGTGCGGACTTAGTCAGCAGGAGCTGTTCAGCGATTAAAAGAGGGGCCACGCTCAGCGACTCAGCAAAGGTGTCAGTGGATCGGCATCCAAAGCCACCCAAGACAACGAGTGGAGCCCAAATCCAAGGCTCCGGCCGCCGTTCTAGTCCCGTCGGACAACGGACAGCCCTTGCGTCTTGTTTGTTTGCGAATCGTGCACACCAAAGTCCAAAGTCCAAGACAAGTGACCATGGAGGCAATGGAAGGGCAAGTGAGTGGGCGGACATCCGCATGATCTCCCCCACCAGGAAATGTGCGACGGGTCTCGGCACCCGTCAATGAGGAGAGAAGTCAGTGGAGGAATTCGGAAAAGGGTCAGCGCGCAGGAGCAGGCGTTAGAGAGGCATCCTCCCCCCACAGCAGCCACAGCATTGCTTGCCTCGCTTTTTTTTGGCGTGTGCGGGCCTCGGTGACAGCGGCTGCTGCGCTCGGTCCCAGTAATAATGCAAAGAAGTACAATAACGACTAAGAAACTGTACAAACATATGAAAACATATCAAAAACAAGGTGAGACAGGCTGCGACATGCAGACTTGGCCGGCAGACGTCGTTCAGCCATAAAAAGCCCGACTCCTAGCCACTGTAGCCACTCAGATGCCCCGCTTCCCAGATGTACTGGGTCGCGCACTGGCACACATATTGCCCTGCTTCCCGTAAATGGTGGGTCGCGCAATGGCACACACGTCCGCAGACACCGACGCAAGAAACCACATTGTTGACAGCATTGCTTGCCTCGCCCAGGGAAAACACTGAGAGTGCATGACCGATGGCTGGCCTTAAGCACAGCTGCAGCTCTCGTCTCGCAACGAGGAAACAATGGATGAGCACCTGTGCGTGGCCCAGGCACATGTGAGGCAGACATAGGATTTTTTTTGGCGTGTGCGGGCCTCGGTGACAGCGGCTGCTGCGCTCGGTCCTAGTAATACTGCAAAGAACAATAACAACTAAGAAACTGTACAAACATATGGATACATATCAAAAACAAGGTGAGACAGGCTGCGACATGCAGACTTAGCCGGCAGACGTCGTACTGGGTCGCGCAATGGCACACATGTTGCCCTGCTGACGGGTCGCGCAATGGCACACACGTCCCCAATCACCAACGCAAGAAACCACATTGTTGCTTGCACAAAGGATTTTTTTGGCTTGACTGGGCCTCGTCGACTACGGCTGTAGCACTCGGTCCCTACAAACAAGCAAAGCAACAAACAAACAAAACTACAACAAAGCGGTGAAACAAAAAGCGAAGCTCTACAAAGGGCTGCGGCGCACAGGCTTTACCTGTGTTGGCCGTTCAGCACAAACTACGGAGCCTCAGCGACCGGTCCGGAGCAACAAAGAGCCGTCGCTCTGAGCTGCCCAAAACAACAGGTGGAGCCAAGACCAGGCTCCGGCAGCCGTTCTAGTCTCGCCAGACAACGGACAGCCCCTGTGTTTTGTTCCGTCGCGATCGTGCACACCAAAACCCAAAAGTCCAAAGCCCACTGCATGCGTGAGCGGCTTCCAGACAGGAGCGCGATGGCCAGAGTCGCAGGAAAGCAACTCATTACCAGCCGGCGACTCTTCACACATCCAAGGACGAAACCAAACGTTCATCGGCGTGCAAAGCGCAAGGGCGTCGCGGACGCCGGCGTCCAGCGACAACAAGTCGCCCGTCACAGCACGCAGGTGGCCGGGCGAGTGATGCAGACCGTGGGGAGCAAAATGTTGTGCGTCGAACCCAGAGCAGCGCAAGCCAGGGCTCCGCCACGAGGCAAACAGTGACCAAGGTCACCCTTTTCGAGAGTGCACACCGGACCTGGAGAGACTCAAGTGGTGGGTAATGCACAGGGTAGGAGTGGCATGGAGGGTGAAGAGAACCTAAACGACGTATGTCGTCGGTTGCAGCGGCTTCCACGGGGAAAGGCGACTTCAGCCAGATATGACCCGACTTGCCTCAAAAGGTCCGTCACAACCCGGCCACCCAATCCAATTGCTAAGTGCACTGGCAACCAAGCCTGCACCTGCGATGTCGATGGAGCGAATTGTGGTGCGACGCAACCTCAGAGCAGCGCAAGCCAGGGCCCCCCCCTCCCCGAAGGCAAACCGGTGACCATGATCATCCATTTGGAGCGTGCACACCAGACCCAGACTAGACTCAAGAGGTGGTGCATAGCGTCAGAGCAGGGGTGGCATGGAGGGTGGAAAGAACCTCAACGACGTATGTCGTCGGTTGCAAGACTTCCATGAGGAAAGCGACCCCAGCCAAGAAGAAGCGACTTGCCTCGAGAGGTCCGTCACAACCAGGCCACCCAAGTCCAATTGCCTGGTGCACTGGCAACCGAGCCTGCACTATCGGGGTCCGATTCGGCATGGCGGCAAGGGCCCGCCCGCCCACTCAGTCGAGCCCGGCCTCGACGAAGGCCATGTAGCCCGTGCGGAGAGCTCAAGGGAAGTAACGACACAACGACGTATGTCGTCAGTCCCACGGTCGGCAAGTGAAAGTGGAGGTCACCGAGAGGAGCCAGCCGCCGCACCGCGCGGCCAGCTGTCGAGCAGGCGTTGCATGTCACGCCCACTCGAAGGAAAGTGACTCTCCTTTAAGAGATAGAGCATCTGGTAGTTTTTCTCATTGTAGAT